AAAAAATTATTCCTGCTGTTTTAAGTCACTAAGTTTTGGGGTGGTGCATTATGCAATAATAGATCACAGAAATGCTGACAAAATATTTTACTGTAATAAATGTCTACAATAGCAACAGTAAATAAATGAAGATTATTATATCAACTTTCCCTTTAAAGCAAGTACAAGTTTTCCTGATGTTTATAAGTTTGCTTCATTTAGAATGATTGACCCAATATATATATTTTTTGTACCTTGAAATTGACCTATAATAAAAGGGTATGGGATAGACCACTAGACCATTGTAATTTCAATTTGGTTAAGTAAAACTATATTTCTCAGACTATCTTTTTGTACATGGTTTTGGCAGAGTTGACCAGAAGAGATACTTGTGTGATATTTAGGAGGCAGAGGTGAGGCATGGCCCACTGCTCTCTAAAGGTGGAGTAGTGAGTGATGATGACAAAATCAAACAGGCCAGCAAGTTCTAGCACATCCCCACATTCCATTGCTCTGCATCCAGCTCATCTTTCCAACTGCTGGCCCTGCTGGTGACCACCAGTGGCTGTAGGTCTATCCCAGGTAGACCTACAGCTTGGCTTCAGATGCAAATACTTTTGCTTAGATTTTTGCATTACCCTTCATGATTCCATTTTAGTGGCTAGATGTGCAGGGCTCCTCCGATTGATGGGTTGGTGACTTCTCTTATACCCTATTTTCCCCTTTCAGACAATCACTTCCCAAACTCAACCTCTATCACACATCTACTTCTCTATTTGAATCCCAACTGACATTGGGGTGATGGAATTTCTGGCTACATGCTGGTCATATTTCATATTTCAAAAGATTTGTAATTTTTATAGTGTTTCATGATGTATTGGTAAAGGAAGGATATGTGATGGTAAGCTCATTAAAACAATAGCATGGCTGGCATGTGCAAATAGCAATCAAAATATACATGAGAATCATGTCAACTAATACTGTAGTAATGAAGGTACAGTTGGCCCTCTGTATCTGTGGGTTCTGCATCTGTAGGTTCAACCAACTCTGAATCAAACATAAAAACAGAGAAAATCAATGAAAATAACAATACGACAATAAAAACATAAATAAAAATACAGTAGAGCAACTATTTGCATAGCATTTATTTTGTGTTAGGTATTATAAGTAATCTAGAGATGATTTAAATTATACAGAGGATGCATGTAGGTTATATGCAAATACTATACCATTCTATATCAGGGACTTGAGAATGGTGTATTTCCCTTGCAGGCACCAAGGGACAATTACACACATTAGGTATCTTTGCAGCAAGGTTTAATACTTGCAGTGTGGTGCATAGGTAAAATCTTGACACTTTCAGTTTGTTCAGCAAATATATATTTGGAGGCATACTATGTAACTACACTAAATTAAATATCAAAGCACAATAAACAAAAAGAAAACAAGTGTGCTCCTAGTCCTCACAGAGTTTGTATCATAACTCACAAAAAAACAGGCAATTAAACAAGTTACTAAAATGAATTTTATAGCAAGAAAGTGTACGATTCTTTAAATATTGTGGTATGGTTGCCCATCCAAGTCCCAGAGCTCCTGATGGATATTCAAGGAAAGTGAAATTTCAACTAGTGCCTGCAGAATAAATAGGAGTTACCTGCTTGGGGCAGGGAGAACATCTTTTGCCAAGGATCAGAAAGGAGAGAGAGTTCATAAAATGAAAGAAACCAGAAAGGGTCTTATGAGGGCTGGAGAGTAGAGAGTGATGGGGGAAAGTAATGAGAAATGCAGAATTAGGCAGGGGAGAAATTTCAGGTATCTGAGTCCCCAAAGTGTATGAAGTGTAGTAGGTTTAGGAAAGAAAAACCTGGAGAAATTGAATTTAGTCACAACAGGAGCTGAATCAGCAAGAACAAGCAATACATTTTTTGATGTCAGGAGCAGCATAATCTGATGGGAAGAGTAACTGAATTACTGTTTGTAGAGAGTGGTGTGTGGGAAAAGGAGTGGTTAATCAGAGTACAGGTAGAACCACAGAGAGGTGGGAGTAGTCAGGGGCAGAGATTTGCACAGTAGCCAGATGGAGTCTGTGGGGGGAGGGCACATGTGTTGTGGGGTAGGGGGACTCACAGAGGTCCCCTGGTAGATCTGTGGGCTGGATAGAAGAGTTCCAGCCAGGTAATGTAGAGGGTAGGCAGAAAAGATGAGGTGGTGGAGTAGTTGCAAAAGTTTTCTTAGAAAACAAACCATAACCGATAGGATATGTGGCAGAAAATTGTGAGCAGGATGTTGAGGTATCCTTAATTTAGGCTCAAAGAGACTTTGTCTCAAAATCATTGTAGGTAAATTGGGGATTGGTAGCTTATGAAAAGGGAAATCACAATATATTACTAATCTAAAAAATGTTTTCTATTTAAAAGAAAACCTGAATTAACCCTAGGTAATTTTATTTTGGAAATATGATCTCTCTTTAAGTGCGTCATAGGCTAAGAGTATGAATGGCTTACCCACTCAGTTCATCTTCCTACAGCAGATAACATGAATATTTTTTCTTATTTTTGAAGTTCATTTTGGAATACAATAACCACCACTGTTCTTTCTTTCCCTGTTTTATTGGAAAATTGTTTACATGTAACTACAGTTTCAATTTTTAAAATCTAAAACCTTTTTTGGAGATAAGCTAGTATAATTTAAAAGTATTAGGGTTTAGATGTCTGAAAAAGAGAAATCCCCTTCTTACTGCCCAGCAAATTGCAAATGTGATTTTTCCCCTTAGTGGAGGGTGAGCATGGTGAGGAGGGAAGATGAGAGTAACACTGTCCATGAAGGAATAAGTCAGGAGCCGTTCATGGGCTGGTCTTAATGAAATTTCTGAAAAATTGTATTTTTCATAGGCTCTATTGCAGGAAAAATATCACAGTGGGGTTTAATAACATCAGAGGTTAGTAATAGAAGGAGAGCCCTGGGAAAATAAAAAGATAAAATTTTCTACTTCATAGTATAAAACTTTTCCACTGAAATTTTCAGAATATTATAGATGAAATTGCACTAAAGTTGAGAAAAGCACATAAAGATTGTGATTGTTTTTTACTCTTTAAAACAGCTTGCTTTTTCTATTTACCTGCTCAAACCTGTGTTCAGGAATTAGCTCTTTTCCTAGTGATTATGGCATCTTGAAATGATCAGAGGCTGCATTCTCCACTGTGCTTGGGTGTCAGTCAAAAGCTGGAGGCAGGGTAGAAACTAGTAGGGACTGAAAGGCTGATTTTTTTCACTGCAAATTACTAGAATATTACTGAGATCTAATGTTCACGGCTTTCTGTTTTGTACCATTTTAGAATTCAGAAATGGAAAAAACTGTTTAGATTGCTTCTTCCCCTATCAACAGCTGAGTTCTTCAGAATGTTTTAATAATTTTCATCAAGTGCTGTGTGATAGCCCTCCTGGAATCATATATGCCTATAACTACATGTTCAGAACAATAAACATAATGTTGAAACTGAGCATTTAAAATAGAAAATAAATGATCATTGTGATTAAACTTCTATGATATTCAAGAACATAAACAAAAGTAATATTTTTAAGACTGGCAAAATGAGAATCAGAATAAAGCGAATAAGATAATGCATCTAATTAGCAGAATACATCCTGATAATTATATATGTACATATATATTTTTTTATGAGTGCAATAGATGAGAATGAAAGAACTATTAGAAACAGACTGCTTTAGATTGGAGTTGTCTGAGGTAATTTTACAGTGGATTATTTCTTTAGAGCAGTCAGTTTATTGAGGATAAGAGGAAATTTTGAGCCAAGATGGTTAATGCATGCATGATTAGGATAGCCCAAACAATCTGTTCCATGGTCTTCTCTCTGCTGTTGACCATGATCTGGGATTAGCAATCAGTTTGACAGCATATGGCCAGAGTGCTCATCAACTACCAGTGCCTCATGTGTAGGGAGGAAAGATCTTCTCTAACATCTAACCATCAGGCCTATTTATACTAAATTGTGTGTCACACAGAATAAGAAGGAAGTGATTACTGTGGATTAGAATTGTGAGAGAAGCCATCATGGAGGATGGATTTGGATAGATAAAGCAAAGCGCATTCCAGAGAAAGAGGACAAGCATGAAAACACAGGAGAGGAAAGGAGAAGGGTAATGGGGAGATTACACTGATAATTCTACTTTATGCATTTAAGCATTGATTGTCCTGTGTACTCAGGCACTGGTGATGCAGAGGCTAATTAAATATTCTTCGTTTCTTCATTCCTTTAAATAAGAACGCAAAATCTACCTAGTGAGACAGTTTACACACACACAGAAATACACACAAACTAAAGTATATGTGATATGTTCTGAATCCAGGGGGAAAAATAGAAATGAGAGGACAGAGGATGGAACAATTAATTCCATCTGGGGAAGCAGTGGTCAGGGAAGTCTGCTGAGAAAAGTCTTAAGTTGATTCATTTGGGTAGGTTACTATATGAAAAGGCATTGTGAATCCTTGCTGATGGAAATTCCAAGGTAGAAAATCCTTGGAGTTGCACATCTTGTCTTCCAGCAATACAGAGCCTTTCCTTTTTAGCAATCCTGCACACCTGGCTGCTGTACCTGCTCTACACTGAATGAGAGATAACTTGAATTTGTTCCCTTTATATATATATGCCAGCAGCTTGAACTTTTGAGGGAATTTTCATAAGGAATCTCTCCCCAGCCTTTATCAGAAACATTCACATTTTTACCAAGTTTACCTACTTGATCTGCTAAATAACCTTTATGTCTGACATATTTCTTTTTTTAAAAAATGTTTTATTTAAAAGCATTATAATATAGTATATAAAATATACACATAAAATGGAAAGATTAATACAAATAAAAAATGAATACCTGTGTATTTACTACCTCTCTTAAGAAATAGATTTTTTCAAAATACCTTATTTGATCAAAGATAGGTTATACCTCTGACTTTCAAAAAAATTGCTGTATTTAGAAAACAAAAGCATCTTATCTTAACATACCCATCACTTGGCCCAATATTCAGTGAATTTCTTTTTTATGGTGATTAAATTATTTCTCATGCCAAACTCCTTCTCAGAGCTTATGAGATGCACTCTCTCGCCAAGAACTCATTTTTTCTCCATTGAAAGAAGCATTCTGAATTCCACATTCTGGTGTAATGTATGTACAGCTGATGTTCAGTTCTCAAATGTTTCTTTCCAAAGTCTTCAGCTAGAAGAAGAAAAGTCAATCTCTGATATCAGTTTCTTCAGGAGTTTACTAAAGACTTCAAAATCATTTTTAAAAATCCAGGTGAAATTCATGCCCACACATATTAATAACTTTGATGACTCTTAATCAACTCTCAACCACAATTTGGAGCGTGATATTAGAATCATGTCTCACATATCTGTATAAATACATCTATCTATCTATCTATCTATCTATCTATCTATCTATCTATCTATCTATCTGTCTGTCTATCTCTATAAACCCCTTTTCAGCCATGATTTATAGCTCTTCGAATGTAAAGAACATCGTCTTAGTTGTTTCAGCATAATGTGATAAAGAAGACACATTGTCTATTTTTCATAGTTATAATTTAGGATAATCTTGTTCTGTAGTCAAATTTCTGGTTTGGAAGACAATGTGGCTTCCAGAGATGACAACATTGCTGAGTCTCAGTGCTTTCCATTTTTCTATTTTAGCCAAGAATACAAGCTCCCCACCAATGGCTTTTAATGTTTAACAGAAGTCATGTAGATTTCTCTCAAACTTAGTGATATAGATCAAAGCAAGAAAGTAAAAAGAATACAAAGCACAAATAATATTCTTAAGTAGCTCCTTTGCATAAAATGGTCATAAGTTTTAGACCGATTTAAAGTGTTTTAAGCTACCTTAATTGTCTTATAGTACTCTTTAGCTAATCATAATACTAAAATCCCCATCTAATGGGAAGTACTGTGCATGTTTAACCTATGTCATATGTAAACATGTGATGACATAGAGAGAGAGAGAGCGCTGTGCCACTTGCCAGAAAGGAATTTAGAGCTCCACAAACAGGCAGGCAGTACAGATCTCACTCTCCGAAGAACTCCTGCCACCCCCCAGGACTGAGTGCCCAGAGGACTCCTATCTTGACTAGGAGTGAGATCCTTGTGTAAGTAACCTCTGACAAACTCACCTAACTCACCAAGCTGGATTTGTCTGAATCATTTCTTTGGTCCTTTGGCACCATCTCAGTTTGGATGGTGGTTTTTCTATACCATCCCGGGATTTTCCCAAAAGACTCATTTCCCAAGCCTTTTCTCCAACATTGAATTCTTGGCCTCTCCCAGAACTTGCTGATCTTTCTTTCATCACTCATTACCTGTGCAACTGTCAGGCTGTCACTCTGAATTCTGACTGCCTAATTAGGTAGAAGCTTTTCTTACTGGTCCCTGGCAATACAACCCTCAGGCTTTAGGCTGCCTAGTTACAAGCATTTTATTTACAGCTTTTAGGCTTTTAATGACAAGAAGCTTGATTTCTTTTTTTTTCAATTTTGCCTTGTTTTTCCTGCCTTTTTTTCCTCCCTGAAAACCTTCCTTAAAACTTTGTGAAGCCCAGTGTTTTCCTTTGGTAAACTTGTTTTATTCATCCCTTGTTAAGGAGGTAAGTGTGACTCCTGAAGGCAAAGAACTGTTGGTTTTCAATTATTTCATTTCATGTTCTTTATTGTCTTATTAGTACATGTGCATCTCTATTTTTTTTTATTGGTTGCACTATAGTTTTCAGTATGTTATCTTTAGCTTACCATAGCCTCCTTTTAAATAATATTATATCACTTCCAATACAATGTAAAATTCTTACAGCAGTGTTCTGTTATTTCTCTTTCTAGTACTAGTATTGTCATACATATTATTTTCTTCTATGCATGTGATTGGGCTTAGGACATGCCATCTCAAACTGTGACTATAAGAGACCAGGATATGCCTCTCCAAAATGTCTTTTTAGCATATTACTTGAACTAGTTATTTTGAGAAACTACAGACACAGGGGTATCTCTGAAAAGTTACCCTTTTATAAAAGAAATTTACATCTATAAAAGGAGTCTCCATTGTAAGGGTGTCTTACTGTCTGCACCAGGGAAAGGATGACTAAATGGAGAGAGACTCTTATCAATGAAAAAAACATTGACTTTTATCTATGTAACAAGGCAACTGTAATTCATCATACATTTCCTCTCCCAACCCTCCCATAATTTGCCAATACAACCTCCAAGAAGACTGAAGCCCCTATTCCTTTCTGTAGCTCAGGATGCTACAGCACTTCCACAGTCTGACCCCCTCCTTGAGTTGTATTTTTGTGGCAATCCTGTGTGTACATAGGTAATTTAACTTACTTTTCATCTGTTATTCTGCTTTCTCTCAAATTAATTCATGGACCAAAGAATCTAAAAGTTTCTTTGCTATAACGCCAAACTTATTGTTATTAGTTTACTTTAAAAAGTGAATAGTTTTTTAAATGAGAAAAATCCTTTTATATTGAGAAATGAAAATAAAACCCTAAGCCCCCCTAGCTGACTAAATGGACCCCTTGTTGGCCAAGGGGACCCTAGCGAAGCCTTAAAAACTGAGTTCCCAGGCATGAAGAGATGAGAATCTGGACACATCTCATTATATCCCCTCCCTCGATGCCTGCCATTAGTTTTTCTTTCCTAAGAATTAAACAGAAAACAACCCTTTTGAAAGACTTGCTCCACCACTGATTTACACAACTGACCAGAATTCCTTCCTAAAAAGAGACCACAGACCGTGGACTGGTTCTGGCAGGTTTACAGAGGCCACACACAAGATGCCTGTCTTCTCCGTTTCACCGTTAGATGTATAGGGCCAAGTTTTAGTGCATTTAAGTGTTAAGTCTCTACCCCAAAGTGAACATGGGATGCATGTAACATGCATGCTTGCTTATTATGCAGACACATACCTCCTTCATGAATAGTCATAGCTCTTCCTATAATCTTTTGAATATATATACTTAGATGACCTGTTCAGGTTAAATTCCTGTCTCACCTTTCCCTCCCTGAAGGTACCTGCTTCCCATTGCTGGAGGCTTCTCTACCCAACCTGCAGATATGACCAGCCTGTGGGTTGCTACCATTTATAAGAAATAAAGCTCTCCTTCCCAAATGTATGAACATCATGATCCTTCAGTTGGCAATATTTATTAATATTTATTATTTTCATTGTCTTCAATTCTTTGTTTCCATCTGATATCATTTCCTTTGATCCTCAACAACTTTCTTATAACATTTTTTTGTAGTATAAGTCTGTTGGTGACGAATTATCTCGTGCTTCTGTTGTTGGAAAGTCATTGTTTGACATTTGTTTTCTAAGGCTATTTCTGTTGGATATAGAATTCTACATTGATTTTTTCCCCCCAAGACTTTAGATACATTGCTTCCAATTTTTTATTTCTCATTTGGCTTCCACCGTATGTGACAAAGAGTTGTGAAATATTATTTATGATTTTCCCCTGCATTTGAACTGGATTCTTTGGCTGCTTTTACTGTATTTTCCCCTCAGTCTTTAGTTTTAAGCATTTTAATTATGATTTATCTTGTGGTGGCTTTCTTTGTGTTCATGTTGCCTGAGGTTTATTGTGATTTTTTGAAATATTTTGGCTATTAATTCTTAACTGTTTCTCTCTCTCTCTTTTTTCTTCTTAATGTGGCATTCCAACCACATATATATTAAACTACTTAGTAATGTTCCACAAATCACTGGGGGTCTGTTAAATTATTTTCCATTTTTTTTCTTAATCTGCTTTTGTTGAATGTTTTCTACAACTCTGTCTTCAGAGTCACTTCAAGTTTACTTCTGCAGTGTCTAATCTGCTGCCAAATTTACCCAATCCATTTTTCACTTTAGATGATGTATTTTTTTTAACACTAAAATTTCCATTTGGTTGATTTTTCATGGTTTCTGTGTCTTAAATGAAATTTCCTCTATTAATTAATTATTGTTAACATTTTTCTGATTTGCTGCATGTCTAGAAAATTTTTATTACTGAAGGGATTAAGACCACTGGGACTTAGGGATGCTATGTCTGAGGCTGTGGGAGGATAGGAGGTGAAGGAATTGCCTGAGCAGAAGCCTGAAATAAGTGCAGATGTTAACTGCCTAGTTGTGGGACACAAAGCATGCTCCAACCTCAGAGCATGCTCCAACCTCAGAGACCCCTAAGGGGTCTCATGTATGAAAAACTGCAGGCAGCTGGCATAAAAACTTCTCATGGCTGTAGAGGTAGATTGCAATATGTCAGCCTGGGAGAAGGGTCTCAAGACTTCTAGTGTTAGAACACTGGGCCAAGTTCCTTCTCTCCCTTTCTCTCAACAATGCCTCAGTTAATGTAAAACCAGTCTCCCAGTGGGAAGCATGTAGTTTCTTTGTTCCTTGATCAAATGGGTCACAGCTACTGAAGTTAAAGTTTGATTTCCATGTGCATAGCTTGAGCTTGGGATAAAATCAGTTTACCTTGATCAAAAGGGTTGTACCTACTGAAGAATTATGTGTTTTTCACTTCTAGAAAGGAGAAGAAAATTAGCTAGGACACCTTTTGATTTTGGGGGGAGCCCCCAAACCTTTGATCATTGTATCCCATGATTTTTTCACCAGAGATCATTGTATCTTGCAACATGGTAAGAAGAATAAAAAGCAAGTGCTGGGATTCAGTCGCTGCCACCTTGGCACCAGAGTGCTGGTGGTCCCCTGACTTCCCTGCTTTCTTAAATATTATTTCTGTGGCTGTGTCTTGTTTCTATCATCTCTTACAACACAGTTTGCCAAGGGATCCTATCTTTATCGGGGACATCACGAACCCTGACATATTCCATTTTAGATTTTCAGAAAGCTGTAATGTTGAGTGCCTCCATTTTATTGTCTCCCCCAACAGACTCATGAGTTTGGTTCTTGCAGGCAGTTACTTTAGTTGAGGATCAGCATGCCAATATAAAACTCAGTTTTTAAGGTATTTTATTATATTGTAATGTTTGGGAAATTTTACTCAATGTCCAGAGTGTAGAAGAAGGTCTTTCCTCTCTGGCTGTTTTGTACACAGACAATTTTCATTTCTCTGTGA